CCCCGCCCACAGCTCATGTGATTGGCTGAGTCAGAAATCAGACCATTAAACTCATTCACATATAAATCTGCTGTATATCATGAAGGATGAGTGAATCTCAGGTCCTCCAGACGGCTTCGGTGTTTCCCATCAGGCCGTGCTCTTTCGCGCCCACTTTATCAAAATAAGCTTTGTTTTCTTCATGCAAATTGTTTTAATATTATTCTTCTGGTTTTGAGGTGAAGTGGGACATTTATTCTCGATTCTCCATCATTAAAATTAAATAAAATAAAATACATACATTTTTCTCTAATTAATTAAAATGACTAATTCAAATAAATTAATAAAATAAAAAAAATAGCTTACAGATTCCTCTGATTGTGACTTATTTACATTTTTGGTATCTTATGTATAAGTACCATGTGTTCATTTACAAAAATAAAATAATACAATAAAATAAATAGATTATAGATTTCTCCGATTGTGGCTTATTATTGGCATTTTTATGTTTCTTTCTGCTGATATTTTTCTTCTTCGTCTGTATATTTGTGCTCTTTTAAAGCTCTCGTTGACTCCTGCGCTGTGGATCTAAATAACTCATCGTTCTCGTCTCAGTGGGGTTTTTCTCATTGTGTTGTTTGTGCCACACACAGCTCATTAATGAAACATGTACGGTAGCAAAGTGCTTCGGTCTGTGTGAAAGCGTACACTTTCTCAGGCCGGGAAACTTTATTCACTCAACTTTACAAAACAAAAGGTAAAAATATGAGAATGTAGAAGTTCAGGAGAACGTTTCTACACAAAAACATATGAGTTATTGTGGAAATGAACACGACACGGTTAAAAAAACCACAGGTATTACAGGATTAATCCACCTAGCAACCACCCACAACACCTTAGCAACCACCTAGCAACGGCCTGGTAACATCATATCATCATGGTAAGGTTTCACACAAGCAAACACACTCATGTTTAGTCTAGAAGTCTTAAAAACCTGCTTAATTTTGTAGTTTTGTTCACAACAATGGCTAAAAAATAAATGGCTAAAACCAGCCTAAGCTGGTCATCGCTGGTTTCAGAGGGGTTTTGTTCCCTTTGAAAAGGGTTTTAAGAACTACTATCCATTTACTAAACTAAACTAAACTAAACTAAACTAAAATACATTTAGTTTCTCTGATTTTCACTTATGACTTCTTAATAGCATTTTGGCATAAGAGTATTTTATGCATAAATACTATGTGTTTATTTACTAATAATAAAAGTAAAAATAAAATAAAAATATAGCTGCAAGCAGCGATGGCGGGCCCAAGCCGTTAGTACAAATGCCACCCCGGTGGCATCAGGAGAACGGTGCACAGTGGGCACATGCATTTACAGTAACCCTCTGACAGTCTGTTTTTTAGGGATACGGCAATTAAAGAGTTAATCTGAACCATTAAGACTGTGAAACACACATACACAGAACAATATATAAAACTTTAGTAACACTTTACAATAAGGTTTCAGTTATTAACATTAACTATATTAATTAACATGAACAATAATTATATAGCATGTATTATTGTCAGTTAATATTCAAAACTTAAACATTAAAAAAATTGGTAACACTTTATAATAACTGCACACTATGAATCATTAGTTAAGCATTAGTAAATAGTCAATTAATCCTTTAGAAAGCATTGTTCCAACAATAATAGGCATTAGTAAGCAGTTTATAAATACAGCTATAAATGTTTTGTTCTTGAGCATATCTATAATGTTTAATAATTGTATTTTCATACTTTATTAATGATCAATTTATCATTTCTAAATTATTACGTTATTTACAAACCAGTTATTTAGGAGTTCATAAGATCATTTAGAAAGTGACTGATTGCCACCATTGATGGACAACATTTTTTAATAATATTAAAAATATCTGTATGACATTATATTCTGCAGTTCTTCCCTGTTGTACCGAATATCTATACTTTTCAAATTATCATATCGAGGTTAGAAATTCAAATATTGTGACAATTTATTTTGTAGGGTGCCACAAGTTTGTTAAAATTTCCAAAGGGTGCCGCGACTAAAAACTGGTTTAACAGATATTCACATAGAAAACTGCAGTTTTACATTCTAATAATATTTCACAATTTTACTGTATTTTTGATCAAATAAATGCAGCCCTGGTGAACAGAAGAGATTATAATATCACATCACATACTACAGTCAAACTGGGCTCTCCGTCTCCAGAGCAGAGTGAATATGAGTCTTGAGTGTGAAGGCTGGTTTGCTCTCTCGACACACACACACACACCTTCCTCCTGCTGTCACGCGGCTGTCAGGCTTCACGGATCGATTTCAAAGATCCACTCGGCCCTTCAGCAGATCAGCTGTGTTTAATGCAGCTGAAGGAGTGCATCTAAAACTTCCTCTAGGGTTTGTGTGGGCCACCCTGAAGAAAGAGCTTCTCCCGCCCCTAAATTCCCACACTCTGCATCTCTATCCCTCATTATCCCGCTCTCTATCCTCCGCTATCATTCACTCGTCTTTCATCCTCAGAAACATCTCTCCAGCGGCTCGTTAGCATACCAAAACTGCCCTTCATTTCCACATGCTTAAAGAGCCATCAATGCTAATTGCACTCAGGCATTCTGCAAAGGCCCCTCGCTGGCTCTTGTTTGGCCACTCGGTCGGGGGCCTGTGTGTTAGCCGGATGTGGGCTAACTAGTCCCCCCTCCCCTCTTTAACCCCCGCTAACCAGCACTGTTGGACCCTTGACCCGGTCGTCGTGGTGACGGTCAGTTTGGCGCAGAAGCGGCCGATGCTGATGGTGTTGTTGAGCGCCACTGTGTTTGATTAGTTGATTCCATTAATGAGCCGATCGCCTGTGTCTGCGACCGCGTGATGAGCCGCTTTCACGGCCAATTGACCAGAGCGAGTGTCTGTGTGTGTCCTAGCAGCCGCGCTCTTAGCACTGTGTGTGTGTGTGTGTGAGTGTGTGTGTGTGTGTGTGTGTGTGCGTGTGTGTGTGT